AACTTAATCCGTTCCGTGACTCTGGGCTTATCCCGAGCTGGTCGTAACCCGAAAGGTTCGTTAGTAGAGGCGTTCGTATCCCGAGGTACCACTGTAAATAATGTAGTTCATTTTGTAGGATGTTTCCTACCTGGACTAAATTGTAACACATTTGTACTCATGGAAAAAAGTGATATTTCTAACAGAGAGCAATTCCATATTCCAAACCTTTTTTTCCTCAAACTATAACAGACTAGGATATTCCTAAAGTCTGAGAATTCTTTTCACAAATACTGTGTATCCAAGTAGCAATAATTGAAAGTATGCAGTGTATAAAAATATGATACTATATATATAAAATATGTAAAACACCTTTTGAAAAATCTGGCCTTAAATGAAATGTAAGTTATTTATCACCATTTATGCAATGTAAGAATTTGATTCTGTAATGTGTATAAAAGTGAAGGGGTAATTGACCTATAATCTCAGTGATTTGTGAGTATGAGTTGAAGATCTTTTGAGGTAACCAGAAAATATTGAATTGTGAACATTCTTACTTTTCTGGAACTCTGTTTTGTTTTTTGACCAATTAAAATTTATTTATGGTCCAAGTCCAAACACAAGAAAAAGACCAGTAATACAGTACAATAACCATAAAAAGGAATTTTTAAAATTGCAAGAAAATCCTAAATCAGTTAATAGCTAACAATTAATGACATAAAAGGGGAACCTGACAGCTTCTAACAGCTATAGCTATTGATAAGAATTTTGCAACCGTCTTAGAGGTTTCTGAAGCGTGGTCACTCAGAAGGGTAACAACCTCCTGGTCACAATTATTAACAATTGGGAGCATTAAACTTGATTGCCATTGGGTGTACAATGGAGATTTTAATAGCATATGTGAGACAGATTTACTTCTGAGTGTGAACAGAAACAAGTTTGTCTTTCATATGGGAGCCTTACATATCTACCAGTTGTTGCCCTAATAGGTAGTGCAATTTGGGCCAAAGTAAATAATCTCCTATGTGGAACATATAAGATATTAAAGAAATACAGTGGTACCTTGGGTCACGAACGCTTCTGTTCACGACCAATTCGGGTCACGAACAGCTCCGTTCGCAAAATTTTGCCTCCGATCGCGAACGCCGGATCGGGTGACATGTGGTCATGGCTTCCTGTAGGGAGGGAGACTCTCCATG